GGGGATGATGGGGGGCAGAAGGTTAATACGGGGGTTATTGTTGGGGTGGTTGTTGGGGCGGTGATAGCGGTGATTGTGGTTGCGGTGATGGGGGTGCTGTTTTTGAGGGGGAGGTATAAACGGCGGGTGAAGGCTCTGGGGAAGGATAGGGGCGGGAGTAGCAGTGGGGGGAGTAGTACTACTATTGGGAATGATGTTGGGGTTGTTGAAGTGGAGAACAAGGAGATGGTGATTGCAGAGCTGGATGGGACGCCGGTGGTGAAGAGGGCGGAGATGGATGTTGAGGGGGGTTATAAGGAGCTGGATGTGGAGTTTGGGTATGGGGAGTTGGACGTGATGGAGAAGAGATTGTCAGAGAATGGGGAGAGGTACGGCGTGGATAGAGAAGAGATTAAACAAACCAGTAACAAAGAGAGAGGTGAAAGGGAAGATGAGGAAAACGCCGATGATGCGGGCGGTATGGTTGGGAAAGAAGAGCGGGCGGATCAGAATGGAGGACAAACAACGAAGAGCAAAAGGACATCAGCTGACATCGCACAAGTGGAAGAAATAACATATCAGACTAGTCACGAGAGATGAGAACATGAAGGTCAATCTTAGAAAAAGGCGACAAGGATATTTATAAGGCTTACTGTCCTCCAAGAAACACACACAAAATCAGCATAATTTGGGAGAAAGGCTGCCTAAGTAAGTAGCAAAAAGAAATAGATATGAATTCATCTATTTTGGCAAAAGATGAAGACATACAACATCAGGGATTCCCCAGTCGTCACCGACCTGAGTACTGGTCTGACCCTTAACTGCTTGATGAGGGGAGAGCGGACGGGATCCCGTATTTTCAGCTAGGTATGGTCGTATGTGACGGTTCAGTGTGAAAATGAGACTTTTGTGTACTTGGTAGCATTAGATGGATATACCCCATGAAATTTACATTTATATTGGAGGAGACATCCCGAGAGAAATCAGCACTTAAAAGGAATATCGAGGAAAGGGAATAATCTAGAAAGCAAAGAAGGCTTTTGACATCGGACTTTACAGGACCTATGATCGAGTCCGAACACCGCAGGCATAAATCTGCCTGGCCTTCCAACCAATCCTACAACTGAAACGAGGTAGACTAACTACATAGACTTGGATTTCACTTGCGGCGAGCACCTGGACCCCACCCTATGGATTAAATCCTAGTGGTCTATCGCTATGGCTGCTCGCTTTTAACTCTTAAACTTTACATAGCCTGTGAGGCTATGTTTTTGAGATGTCTGTCTATTGGTTCTGTTTTTGTAGAGTCCGAGGTCTACCAAACTATGGACTTCAGGCGTATTGTGTTTGACCCTCCGCTCGGTCTTTTAAGAGACCGGCGCCCGAAGTCAATTGCTGAACAAGATAGCTCAAATAGCCCAACTAGATATTTTTTTGAGAGGACACTTCACTAATACTATGACTGTCGCAAGAGAAAAAAGATACAATACCATGGTATTATCTCCAGCAATTACCGTATGGCTGCTGGGCAGTTTGCGGTATGTTCATGGCCATATTGCATTGATTTTCAGCAAGATACTGAATAACAGGATTTCCAAAAAGCGCATACAAAGAAGCCCAAATCGACGACAACTTCCCCAGCATATGCAACCCAGAATCAGCATATCAAATCAACTACAAGAGCTGCGATCTCTGCTGCGCTATGAACCAGCGGTACCATGACATCGCCGAGTCGAAGGATGTGGAAGTGTATTTGGAGGAAATTTTCGGTAGCTACAACCGACACTGCCTTGACTACCAGAGCGGCGTTACAGTCACCGAGATAATTTCCAGAACAATTACTACTGCGACATCCAAATCTACTGAGCCAGTTCTTCCCGGTCAATTTTCTACCACGGCCTCGGTCTCTGTTTCAATTTCTGACAGCTCCATTTTCCCCGAGACAACCAACTCCGATCTTTCATCCAACGGCACCTTTTTCAACAGCAGCGATAGTCCAGCCAACAGTTCTGGCTTTGGTTTACATCACATGATCGTCACAGGTGTCTGTTCTGGAGCAGCAGCGCTTCTTGTAGGTTGTCTGGTATACTGGCAGCGCCGTCGGAGAAGAAGCCAAGGGCAACACTCGGAGCACCAAGCAAAACAAAAAGAAAAGGATCTAGAGAGCTCTCTCAAATGTCAGTCTATCATTGTAGATGTCGATGACAGTTCCATCAGGGATACAATCACCTTGGTTGGGTTAGACGGTGGCTCTTGGATGGAGAAAAATGGCAGTCCGCCGCCAAGAGTAGAAATGGATATTGACTCTGGGGCCTGTGAGTTGGACTTGGATAATGGTCATGGCGAGATGATCGTTGAGATGAGTTTACGGGTAGAATTGAGTACAGAGAGTGGGTATGGAGAGCTGGAGGGCTCTTTGAGTGGAACGAGGCCGGCGGCGTGGAACCAGGGGTGACTGGCACGGGAATGGAGGAAAGCACAGGCAAAGACTTTCGGAGTAAAGAGGAAAAACAGTGTAAAGTAGGGTAGATTCATCGGTTTCCCGCGTTCAGTTTCGAATGCTCATTGGGAGGCTGAACATCCATCTCGCTGTAGCCACTTCCCAAGTCCAACTCGCAAGCCCTCTCCTCAACCTCCATCTCAGTTCTAGGATTTCCCTCTATTTCCCGTATCATAGGTGAGACCTCTGCCTTTATTTCTGAGGGCCTATCAACCTCTGCAGTGGTAGATTGCGATTCGAGGTCTTTCTTCCTCAACTCCCGCCGTTTGCCCTCGGCCTTTTGCTCCAACAAGCGGGTGCGCTCGACCTTATCTCCAGAGCGGTTTCGATACGCAGTTACGATGCAAGCGAGAAGCAGTATCCCTCCCACCACGCCGAGAACTGTGCCAATAATATGCGCGAGAGTGAAACCGGAGCTGGATTGTGGTTCAGGTCTGTTGGCATTGGTCCCAGAGACACCATTGAAGTCATTGCAACGATTGGTGTACTCTCCAAATATGGAAACCAGCGTTGCGTTTATGCTGTTGGCTGTTTTATGGATATCGTTCGTCTGAGTTGTTGAGCAACAGACCAGACAATTCGAGTAATTGATCTGGTAGGAAGATTCGGGTTTGCAGTATTCTGGAAATGTCTCGAAGAGTCGGACTTGCTGGTAGGCTTTGTCTGTAGGTTTTCTGGTCAATTGGGGTTGAGGAACACAACTGCCGGATAAAGACATACTGCAGACCTCCCAGCATGGGGGCGGCAAATCTCGGAACTCCAATGTTATACCGTTAGGATCACTCATGATATCGAAAGGTTTTTGGAGATAGAGTGAGGAAGAAGATTTGATGGGGAGTGGGCGTTAGGAAGCCGAGTGGACAATCCTGAACATACGGATACAGATGGACCATGGAGCTCACATGAATCAGCCGACCTCTATCGGTCTTCAGAGGAAACTCAGCCCCGAAGCATTCACCGAAGACATATCGACAAGGCTAGATGCCACATGTGGGAAAGATATAATAAGGTAAGTATCAATGATAACAGCACGATGTTGCGTTGCAATCTAAGAGTTGGGGGCCAAGTTCACCATCGCGAATGATATATAGTAGGTAGGTAGTGCTTAGCCGGGCGAAGGGCAGCTGACGTCAGTACCCGACTGAACTATACAATTGTGGCTGCTGTAGAATCTCTCAGGGGTTTAGTGCCCGGTGCTTCATTGTACTTGCTGGTTGCAAGACTGTTAACTGGGTGAGAAAAGCCAGGAGTACTCTACAGACGAGGAAAGGAATGACGGTGTATGTGGAAGTTTGGATACATTAGTCTAGCACTGAGTCTATGAGGATTCTGCAGCTTTTCTCTCTTCCAAATTCTCGTTACTTCAAATGCATCTGTTCAGCTTCGAGATACCTTAGACAGCTCTACACCCTTGGTTAGTGACCGAGACAGAGAAACCTCACGTCCCTTTTCCAGACAAAGAGGCTGGGG